AATAAAACTCAGGAGTATTGAAAGAATGCAAACCGTAAGTCAGCACTTGAAGATGCATCCAGATGACTTGATAACAGCAAGCAAATGCAGTAACGTCTTCATCCTTAGTTGTGTTTCAATTTCGGAACAGATCCAAAAATTCTTCACATCGTTAAGTACGATCCCCATTTGTGATCCTCTTCTTCTTCCTTTCCCGTAAAAGACACATACCCTCAATTTAAGTTCTGAATGTTGTACAGTTGAGAGATGTCTCATATCATGTGCTTGGAACAGCCACTATCAACAAACTGAAGTCTGATGATATTCCTCCATAGTTGCTCCAACACAGAGTGCGGGATTAGTTGGTCTTTGGGACCCAGTCCATTTTGAAGCTTGGTTGACCTTTATCATCTACACAAGGTACTCTCTCCCATGACCTTTTCTGTATATCACACACAGAAGATGAAGAAATGTTAGAATCATTAGAAGATTTGGGAGTATGAACCTTCGGTACCCATCTGTAGTTGGGTTTAACCCATTTCTTGTTCGATCGGATGGATGCCTTATCACTTGCTTTTGAACTTGAAACTGACGGCCGAGATGGCTTTGACCTAACCGATCTTGGTTTAACTGGACCATCTCTTGAATTTTGCTTCTTGTCCGTCATTCCCTTCTTGTCCTTGGGAGTTTGATTCTTGCCCTTCTTCACGTTCCAGTCATCATTGCGTGATTGTGACCTTGAAGGATATCTTTTGGAGGATCTCCCTCTTGGCGCGTTCTGCCAACCTTGTCTGTAGTAAGGAACATACAAACGACGTGGGCAATTTCTGGCAATATGACCGGGAGTCCTACAGTTAAAGCAAGTCTGTCTTTTCATATAGATGAGATTGTGACTTGGTCCTTGTCCAAAAAAAAATTGTTTCAAGGGACTTCCACAAGCACAAGCACAAGAACATTTAACAGATTGTTTAACAGACTTTTGTGGCTTGGATTTTTTCACAGTGGGAGTATCAGCATCACAAGGTTTTGAATCATTATCAGCAGAACTAGAATCATTTTTGTTCTGCTCATGCTCATCTTGCACTAGGACCTACTTTGCACATGAAGTAGAGGCATTAGTATCGTTCACCTCAATATTCTCAGTTGGGCCAAATTGTTTAGTATTAACTGAAGCTGGTACAGGGGACGGACCATACTGAGCATGTATCTCTACCTCATTGGTTTCAAGGGGTGGGGTATAGTTATCATTGAAGGGAGGTGGAACACTGTGATACCCTAGACCCTCATTCTGATTATCTTTAAATTTTAATTGTTTTTCTATCATGGACACAACTACCTCACTTGACACGTCAAATTTCTTAAATTTAAATTCAGCATCTTTATATTTAGCTTTTAATGCATCAAGTTCAGCAGTTAATTCGGCAATTTTTACTTTAGCATAATGATAATGTTCACATTTATCGCTATATTCTGCTTGAAGTTTTCTAAAGTCCTTGGTTTTGGCCTCTAATTGATTTTTTAAGGGTTTTTGGGCCTTTCTGGGAGTATAGCCTTCATATTTAAGGTCCTCATTGTCTCTACGTAATATATCAATTTGATCACGAAGAAATTTAATTGTATCACTACAAGATTGAGAACAGGATGTTTCATTGACATCTTTTGTGATTGATGAACTCATTATTCACAAAAAAATAATTTACCAAAAATAGAACTGATTGTGAAACCAAGAAAAATGCCCTTTGATCTGAAACCTCCAAAGTCAAGCTTTAAAGTCAAACTAGAAAGTCAAACTTAAAAGTCAAAATTGAAAGTCAAAGGTCAAATTTGAAAGTCAAAAGTTAAATTTGAAAGTCAAAGGTCAAACTTGAAAGTCAAAAGTCAAATTTGAAAGTCAAAGATGAAAGTTAAACCTTTTGTCCAAAAAAAAACCTTGACCGAAAACGAAAATTTCTAGACCGAAAACGAAAATTTTGGATAAAAAACGTGACATTTAGGCCAAAAATGAGATTTTAGACCGAAATTGCGAAGCCTCTTAGTCCAACCGAGAAGACTTGCACACACTCCACCAAAAGCGCTAGACCGAAATCAAGGCTCTGACCGCAAACACCGAGGCTGCTGACCGTAAACATGCGATCCGAAAACCTGCGGACCGGAAACCCTCGTTTCGGACCGAAAACGTGTAGACCGGGAATGTTCGCTACTGACCGAAATCGTTGCGAGGCCGAGGACTTCGGACGAGATCTTGCGAATCTGACCGCAAACTCTGCTAAGCTCCGAAATCTGCTGCTGGCCGCCTAGGGTTTGACCGAGACCGAGGATATCCGATTGGATTTCGCAAATCTTGACCTAAAATGCCCAAAACTTGCCAAAAACACGGGATTTTCAAATCTTTAATGCTAAACTCGATCAAAACTCCAAAAATATGAAGAACACGAAGAACAATGGCCAAAAATTCATAAAATGTAAATCAAAAACACTAAGAAACTCCAAGAAAAAACTGTTTGCAATGACCCAATTGATACCGATCCAAGCTCTGATACCACTTATTCCCATTCTTGGCTGATAATTCACCATCCATTATTGGTGTACTTTTCCGAATTCTCCTACGTATCAATTGAATTCACTTTGATGGTGCGGAATCCCAATCAAAGTGTATAATGCAAGATATAAGATGAATAAGAACAAGATAATTAATCTTCAATGCACACAATATATTGATTAATCGTCAGGTACATAAGAGTCCGATTACACACGGTTTTCTCTTGTTTTCTCTCTAGATCTCGTTCTAAGCATGTGGTAGCCCCTAGAACGTCCAACACACATATCTAGGCTAAAATAACACTATTTATACCTAGACCTGATGACCAAGCCTAAGCCCAAAACCCAAATAAGCCAACATTAAGCCTAACCAAAATCACATGTGATTTCGGCCCAAACAACACCAAAACATGGTGTTTTCGGTCCTAAACCGAGAACTCTAATAGCTTATGAAAAGCAAAGTATAAACCACAATTTATGACCTAACAGTATGCCTGGTTACCCCACAGAGTAGGTGACAACACTCGATCATTCTAGACGGTCTTGTAAATTACGTTGCTAGTGGGAGCTCATTACTCACAGACGTAGATGAATTGGAAAACCATATTCATCAAATACTCTGACAGCCCATAGGCCTTTATCACTTACATCGACAAAGGAAGCCCCTGGCTATGTAGTCAAACCCTTACCTTAAATGGTTCGCCAGGGAGATTATTTTCCCCGATAATCTTGGACTAGGATCTGTAAGGATCGGTAGGAATAGACATGTAGGAATGTAAGCCTATATGGATATTGTATGGTAACGGTTAGTGTTGTAGGTCTTAGAATTAAGGAATATTATCATATCAATATTGTGGGATTGATATCTCTATGTATCTCACCAGGTTTCCCCACCTGACCCACTCAGCTTATATGTATCACAGGTATCAAGAGTTAAGCTAGTGGAACTTGATTAGGATGTTGAGTGATTAAGAGACAACCTGCAATAGTATTCATGATCATCAGGTCTTTACGTTGTAACTTATGTATATGTATTGATTATGACATCTTTAGGGTTTTAATATTTTGGAAACAAACATTTGTAATTAAAATGATCATTTGTACTGGGATTTTCAGCAAATATAAATAGATGATTTTTAAAGCGTAAATAAAAGTCTTAATTGGTTTTGAAAAAAAAAAGGATGTCACACGAGCTCAGTATAATAAAGTTAGAATCGAGCCGAGCTCAAGCTTGAGCCCCATATAACTTAAACAAGCCCGATCTGATCTTGGCCAGGCTCGGGCTCGGCTCGGCTCATTTGCACCCCTATCCGCAGACTGCATACATTTTGCCCAAAAAAAACATCACCTTAGTATAGTATATGGTTTTAGGGTTCTCAAACCTCATACCTAACAAAGGATTATGCTTCTTCCTGTGTAACTCCCCATTGAAAGTGTTTGGCAAATCAACAACAATGTCATTGTCATCTTGTAGTTCATTCTCACCCATGTCATCATAAATAAGAACAGTTTCACCTTCATTCTCATCCATCTTAGAATTTGGGCCATTATCCTTTCTGAAAAAACAAGGGTTGCTATTATCATCCACATGCCCTTCATCCATTTCTTCTACCAACCAATCATACATGTTAGTATTACCAAAATGGTCTACATACATAGGATTTCAACACAACATTCATACACAATGACTATAAAGTCAACATAGTCAAGCGCGGTCCAAATTAACCTAAAACCTTTTGGGAAATTAACATCAGGAAGACAATAATATATATTCTCACACATTTCTCTTCTGTGAATCTTTTAATGAATGCAAATAACTCATTCTTGTCCTTGTCGGCAAAATAAATGTTCACCGACCTCAGATTAATACCATCGATGTATTGTATAGGGTACCTGGAAAAGGAACCTTGAAAGTGTAGATCGTTAATGATGCATACATACATGTTTGAATACAGGAAATGGAGAAATGTTTTTTAATCGAAGGAGAAAAATAAAGTAAAAAAGTAAGTGGTTTGCTCTAACTAAAAACCTAAACGACACAACCAACATCATACGTGGAGCAAAATAAATGACATCACAAAGATGTCAACTGTTTACCCCTTCGATTCGTCCAAAGTGATCATTTGGACCCGACAAAAACTATTTTATCCCCCTTTAATGCCAAAAAAATAAATTAATAAAGTTTATTGACCATTTAAACCAGATACTGAAATTTCATAAGGCTACACTTTGATTTTCCTTTAGTAATTTGGTTCTTTAACAACGTAAAAAACTATTATGAAAACCGTTATAAATTTAATATTAAAAAGAAACATTATTGTATAATATATATATATATATATATATATATATATATATATTAGTGAATTTTATTGGGTCGTGCTAAGCACGACCCACGAAGGGTAATTTTGGAATTTTAGAAAGTGATGTGCGACATATTGGAAGTATAATGTCTTATTAACACAAATACTGAAAGTACAATGCTATTATTGGGTAGATGTTAAAAACTACAACGCTTTACGATAAAAAAAATTAGAACTACAACTTTGCAATTTACGTAAATGAAAATAGAAAGGTATAATACACCAGCAAAATGAAAGTACGTCGCTATTTTATACAGCTAGCCCTTATATATTGCATAAAGCGAACTGCATGTTTCACCCCCTACAACCAACAAAAACACATCACATCAAGAAACACTAAAGGGTAATAAATTTATGATAGCTTTAAAATCAAAAGCCCTTGAGCTAACTACAAAAGTTGACAAACAACCCTGCTGTTCTTCACCAGTTTGTTCCCATTGCTTGAAATTGACAAGCCACACATCTGAATAAATCCGTGATGGGAAATTTTGATCAACCCAAACTCGATATTGTTTTCCCCTTGTCCCCACAACAGTCTTTTAGTTTATCAATGTAATCATGAAGAGATTACTCAACACCAGATGGATGAACAAACACACCAGAAGCAGACTACATAAAAAAGTTAAGATTAAATATGCAAATATATGTAAAAAGAAAGAATTAAGGGTTTCTTCCTTTTTGATTTAATGGACTTGATGGGTATTATACTTAAATCTGGACAGAATGAGTCGAGGGTTTTAACAAAAAAAAATTATAATGTATTAAAACACTAACCCTTTGCCTAGCTGCATGTTAATTAAAATTGATGAATATTCTTATAATTTGTTTTATTTATGAATATAAGGGTAAATTTGTCATTTAGTAACATACACAAGACAGATTTGAGGTTGTTCAAATAGAATTCAGGATTTTCAACTTTTTCCTGTGGCCAACTCTCTAAAAACAAGCAAAATTTGACTACTTCATATGCATGTTCAAAACAGTCTAACTTTGCATCTGAAAGATCCGTTACATCTGTAGATGATATATTTGTTCCCAACTTGAAATGATCAAATAGCTTCTATGATACCACATGCCCACTTTTCATATGCATGAATGATTTTAGGGTTATTTTTGGCATTTTCACCATGCCACTGTAACAATTCTTCCTGTGCATTATTCACAGGGACACCATGAACATACTGAATGGTGAAAAGCTACACATCATTACCTGAATATCTACATTATTTTCAAGCATCTTTGCAAAGAAAAGTATTAGTTTCAATAAAAAAGAAGCATAGAGCAAAATATAACGTGAAAGAAAAAATATAATACCTTAAAATGTTGGGAAATCTCATGAAGGGGCGACCAATTTGACCTATGCTTGGCTGTCCCAAGAAATGGAAAATTTACTTCAGTTAAAAAGGTCATTGCTTTCTCCCATCTCTGAACAATTTACTTTCTCTCTTAAGTACAGATTACAAATTAAAAATAATACCCAATTTAGAAGTAAAATGACAATGAAGATGAGCTATTCCCTGTAAAGAAAAATCATATTTTCCACAAAAATTAAAACCCATAAATATTTTTTATAAAATTCAACCATGTATAGATGAGTTCTTAAGAAGATTTAAAGACATCCCCAGAAAAAATCCCGGATGAAAAGAACATCAATCCACACAAGATCTACATATTCAATTAAAATCAAGCATTTTTTTAGATACGTTTACTCCATCTTGGGAACTCATATGATCATATCATTATAGGCAAGAGAAGATGGTTTCTTTCTCAGTAAAAAAAAAAATTACACAAACCAAATGATCCCATGCCATTGTTTTCCTTGAGTTTGTCTTGTAGATATCCAATATTCATTTCCACTATAGCAGACATAAATTGAAATACGATATGTTATAACCAAGGGCAATTAATCTACAAAATTAAGAACTATGGCCATTAAGAAAGTTCAAACTTGATTCTTAGATAAAAAAGCAAAACCTACACTACATATTTGTTTAACCTGCTAGGGACACAAGTTTAACCCATCTAGCCTTTTAGAGTTTTATTCTCAATCTATTCAGTAAGAGCATAGAAATAAGCAGAGCTTCTTTTGAGTATAGGCTAGTGACGACCATTTTGCAATCAACTAAGAAACGGCAACTTACCTGATGGAAAACGAAAGAAGAAGATATGCAGAATGGAAGAATATAACCAAAAAATATTGTCCATGTTGGATTCCAAAACCAATTTTCATCACTTAGTTATACGTTTATATATTTTCTTTTCATTTTTCTATTGTTGTCTACAAAAAAAAAAAAAACTGCTAGATTCAGGAAAGGATAAAAACTCAGGAAAGGAAAGGAAAAGAAAAGAAAATTGAAAAAGTATAATTTTTGTCAAAGGAGTTAATCAAGCAAGAGCTACAGAGCATCATTATGGTCGTGTGATAGAAAGCTTTCAGTTTTAACCAAAGCAAAATAATAAACACATCTGAAAAAGTGGAGATAATACATTCTAGCAAGTGAGCACAGAGGCTAAGAAATAGACGTAATCGAGATATGCTTCTAAAATTAATCTTCTTCGATTTCTTGAAACACAAAAACCAAAGGAATTAGAAATTAAGAAAGAGAAAATGGGAAAAAGAGATTACTTTAATTTAAGCTTCCATGGCATCGATTTGTCATTAGTCACAGTCTTTAGGATAAATTGTGTCTTCACCGGGACCTACCCTTTCGTCCTCTTCAACATTAATCCCGAAGCAACAAAACCCTAGAGAGAAAAAGAAGAACTGAGGCATATCGAGCAGTTGTAGAAACATTACCAGAAAAGAAGAAGGAGATACGAGTGCGAGGCAAAACGATTGAGAGCCAAAGAAAACAAATAACAAAAAAATATGAAATTATACGGACTTATATACAGAATAAACATGGAGTCGGCATGAAGAGGGAGTTAAAAGGGTGACTCAACCACAAAAAGAGGAGGTGGCAGTAAAAGGGGATCCAAGAGTGGCGCAGCTTGGGGGAAACGTTGCCGCCAAAGGAAAACCCAACGTCAAGTCTTCTGCCTCATCGTGAGGTCAGGCTGACCGGAAGCAAGCAGGCAGAGACCTCCATCAACATCCAAACGACGCCGTTTCCAGAATCCTAGTCTCATCAGGCTAATATAGGGTTGAGGGAGTTTAAGCAAGTAGCTTGGATGACTCAGGAGTGGCCGGTGGGGAAGCTGCTTATCGACGTAAACATCTTAATCTTGGGTTTGGCATATAGGTAAATGATATATATATATATATATATATATATATATATATATATATATATATATATATAACAACAGAAACCAAACTCTCATGTCTTCTTCAACCAACTATTTTTAAAACGACAAGGTAAACTATACCAAATTCATATCCGCGGTTTCAAAATTTTTTTTTATATTGTTGTATTTTGAAAAACAAATGTGTGATAGTTTATAATTACTTTAAAAACATCATATCTATTAAAAACCTTATACTTAATTTTTTTGTATGTGCTTTTTTTTTTGTATGAATCTGCTATAATTTTCATATATATATATATACATATATATATATATATATATATATATATATATATATATATATATATATATAT